GCGCGGTCGGCGTGTTGCGGGGCGGGGGCTCCGGAGCGGGGTCGCGGGCGGGCGGGAGAGCCCTCCGCTCATCTCCGAGTTCCCGCGCGCCCCGCGCCCCCAGGAACGGGGGCCGCCGCCATGATGGGACCCCGTGCGGCCTGCGCATGCCCGGCGGCGGGGCCGGGGGTCGGCGTCCAGGCCGTGGTGCGCACTGCGCAGGCTCAGTAGCGGGGTTGGGGGTTGGGGCTTGGGGGTGTCGGCGCCCAGGGCGAGGCGGGGGCAGGGTGTGAGTGGTCGGAAAGTGGCGGAGGGTCCGGTGCCGGCGCGGTCGTCGGCCGCCCGGGTTGAAAGCGGGACAGGCGGGGCGGGAGAGCTTGGGGTCCCTTCAGGGCCCGCGGCGAGTGCGGGTCTCCGGGGGAGGGGTCGGGGCGCTCCCCACGACCTCCTGGAAGGCGGTGTCAGAGCAGTTTCGCGTCTGTTCTGAGAAGAAAATAAGTTAGTTTTACTGCAAATCCCTGCACTTCGGGTTTCGCGGTACATGTGACAGTTTAAGAGCAGGTGTGAGACGGTGGCCAACTTCTGAATGTACCCAAAGGATACAGTAAGACGCTGTAAAAGTCACCTTTGCGGTTTTCCAGGAGATCAAACCCAGTTTCTCCTGCCTTCTCATTGTGCTCTGGATGGTGAGGCAAAGGGCTGTCGAAATTAAACTTCGTTTACTCTGTGTATTTTCCTACCTTTCTTAATAGTCACCGCGCTTGAGCAGCGACAGCAGGGGGAGCCTTTTTGCCTGTTCTGTTAGTGCCGCCGCAGGGCGGTAGGAAGCGCTCACGCGCTCAGGGTTTGAAGGTGGATGGTGCACTAGTGCATACTGTGTGGATCTGCACATCTGGGGAGTCGTCTTTTAGCAGCTAATGTATCGCTGACTAGTACTTTGAGGTATTCTGAGTTTGCTATTCAGTAGTTGGGATACCATGCGCATTTTATTGCAACATAAGGCGAAATATGTGAAATTCTCTGCCAGTAGTTTTAAGGAGGAGTTCATGAAGAAGATGACCTTAAAATTGGACGTTAGGGCTTCCCTGGTGGCGCCGTGGTTGAGAGTCCGCCTGCCGATGCAGGGGACGCGGGTTCGTGTCCCAGTCCGGGAAGATCCCACATGCCGTGGAGCGGCTGCGCCCGTGAGCCATGGCCGCTGAGCCTGCGCGTCCGGAGCCTGTGCTCCGCAACGGGAGAGGCCACAACAGTGAGAGGCCCGCGTACCACACAAAAAAATAAAAAAATAAAAATAATTGGACGTTAAACAGTTGATGGGATTGTGATAAGTGGAAACAGGGAAAGGCTGTTCCAGGCGTAGGAAGGTGTCAGGAGCAGGGGTGTGGGGCTGTGAAGCATCAGGTGTTTTTGAAGAGCAGCCCATAATTGCGTTTGGTTTAGAATGTAGGTGTTTTAAAAACAGGGACTAGGGACAGAGGAGTAGAAAAGGCAGTCCGGGCCAGGTGGTAGAAGGCCTCTTGTCTCTGTCTAAGGAATTTGCCTTTTATTTGTAGGCTCTGACAGCTTCAGGTGTTTTGGCCCAGGGAAGCAAAGTAACCAAAGAGATGCCATCGACAGATCAGTTAGACTTGCAGAGTGGATTGGTGGCAGAGGAACAGGACATGCCTTGAGACGATGAGAGCTTCCCCGGGGCTCCTGGCGGTGGGACTGGAATCCCCCAGGCAGAGAAGGGAGGTGGGAATTAAACACAACCATAGTTTTTAGCTGTTATGGAGAGTGGGAAAACCATTAAAAGAAATGGGGAAAGGAGGGGGAGAAAGGTTGGTTTAGTATATGGACAAAGGACTGGATGATAAATTTGGAGTATAATCATATTGGAGATCCAGAAAGAGAATGTTTTGATGCATTCATGTGGCCTCCCGTTTGTGTTTTAAACTCTTTTAGCTGGATGCTGACAAATATGAGAATGATCCGGAATTAGAAAAGATCCGAAAAGAGAGAAACTACTCCTGGATGGACATAATAACCATATGCAAAGACAAACTACCAAATTATGAAGAAAAGGTGAGGGAGCTCTAAATTCTTTGAAAAGGGGAAACATTATGTTTGCTACTAATAAACACAAGCTTTTCTTTCCTTTTTAATGTCTTCATTTTGGTTTTATATCAGAGTCATGCTGGCCTCATAGAATAGGCTGCAAAATACTCCCTCCTTTTCAGTTTTTTGGAAGAGTATGTGTAGAATGTGTTTAATTTTTCCTTAAATGTTTGGCAGATTAACCAGTGAAGCCATGTGGGCCTGGAGCTTTCTTTGTAGGAAGGATTTTAGCTACGAATCCAATTTCTTTACCAGATATAGGGCTATCCAGAATATCTGTTTCTTGAATAATCTTAAGTAGTTTGTGTCCTTCAAGGCATTTGTCCATTCCATCTGAGTTGTCAGATTTATTGGCATGAAGTTTTTCAGACTATTCCCTTATTATCCTCAAAATATCTGTAGAATCTGTAGTGCTGTCTCCTTCATTCCTGATATTGGTAATTTGTGTCCCTTCTCTCCTTTGCCCAAGTCCCGCTAGAAGTTTATCAATTTTGTTGATCTTATCAAACAGCTTTTGGTTTCATTGATTTTTCTCTATTGTTTTTCTGTTCTCTGTTTTCTTGAATTCTGCTCTTGTCTTTGTCTTCTACTCACCTTGGGTTTAATTGCTCTTCTTTTTCTAATTTTTTAAAGTGGATGCTGAGGTCATTGACATGAAGCCTTCCTTCTTTTTTTTTTTTTTGCGGTGCGCGGGCCTCTCACTGTTGTGGCCTCTCCCGTTGCGGAGCACAGGCTCCAGACGCGCAGGCTCAGCGGCCATGGCTCACGGGCCCAGCCACTCCGCGGCACGTGGGATCTTCCCGGACCGGGGCACGAACCCGTGTCCCCTGCATCGGCAGGCGGACTCTCAACCACTGCGCCACCAGGGAAGGCCCCCTTCTTTTTTAATATAGGTGTTTAGTTCTGTAAATGTTCCCCTATGTGCTGCTTTGAGAGGCATCACACAAATTTTGTTTGGTATTTTCATTTTCATTCAATTTAGAATATCTCTGAATTAACTTCCTTTTTGATTTCTTCTTTGAACTATATAGTTTTCTTGACATATGTTAGTTTCCAGTTATTTGGGGACTTTTCCAGAGATTTGTCTTCTGTTAGTTTCTGATTTAGCTCCATTGTAGTGAGAGAGTGTATTTTGTATGATTTGAGTCCTTGTAAATATGTTGAGTCTTGTTTTATGGGCCAGAATATAGTCCATCTTGGTGAATGTGCCACGTGAGCTTGAGAAGAATGTGTGTTCTGCTGCTGTTGGTTGAAGTATTCTGTGAATGTCAATTATTTCCAGTTGATTGATGGTGCCCTTCAGTTCAACTGTATCCTTACTGTTGTTAGAGGCATACTTGTTTAAGACTGTTATGTCCTCCTGGAGATTTGACCCTTTTGTCATTACATAGTATACACAATTATCCCTTGTGAGTTTCTTGTACTGAAGTCTGCTTTGTCTGAAAGTAATGTAGCTCCTTGAGCTTTCTTTTGATTAGTGTTAAAGTAGTGTTTCTTTCTCCAGATCTTCACTTTTAACCTATTTGTGTATTTATATTTAAAGTGGATTTCCCATAGACAGCATATAGTTAGAGGGTTTTTTGTTTGTTTTTTATCTATTCTGACAGTCTCTGCCTTTTAATTGATGGATTTAGACCATTCACATTAAATTGATTGTTGATGTGGTTGGATTGATATATACCATGTTTGTAACTTTTAATTTATTATACTTGTCCTTTATTATTTAAAAAATGTACCCCTCTTTTTCTTCCTTGTCTGATTTTAATTGAGCATTTTGTGTGATTCTGTTTTCTTTCCTCCTAGCTTATCATTTAAAAAAAAATGTTTTAGTGGTTGCCTTAGAGTTTTATTTTTTTATTTTTAATTAATTAATTTATTTATTTATTTTTGGCTGTGTTGGGTCTTCGCTTCTGTGCGAGGGCTTTCTCTAGTTGCGGCGAGCGGGGGCCACTCTTCATCGCAGTGCGCGGGCCTTTCACTGTCGCAGCCTCTCTTATTGTGGGGCACAGGCTCCAGACGCGCAGGCTCAGTAGTTGTGGCTCACGGGCCTAGTTGCTCCGCGGCATGTGGGATCTTCCCAGACCTGGGCTCGACCCCGTGTCCCCTGCATTGGCAGGCAGATTCTCAACCACTGTGCCACCAGGGAAGCCCTGCCTTAGAGTTTTATATTCTGGACATAAAACCCAGGAAACTCTGGGGCTCCCCGTAATACTGGGCTTCCCAGGCTAGTCCACGCTTATCCTCCTGCGGTTTGTCAAAATGACCCCGTAGGTGTTCCTATCAGCTTAGGCTTCAGGGGCTTCTGCTCGGTAAACTGATCTCAACTCTGACTCTGCGTTCACCTCTGTCTGAGATTTCAGAGTAATGCTTTGTCCTGTGACATCAGTCCCCTGATGGATCTGAGAACAGTCATTGATTTCAGTTTGTTAGGTTGTTTTCTTGTTGTGAGCATGGGAGTGACAACTTCCAAGCTCTTTACCTGTCGGACCAGAAACCAGAAGTCCTCTCCTTGACGTATCCACCTGCCTTGAAGAATTGTTACTACTTCATGTGTTGGAAGAACCTTAAAGTTATATGCTTCCTTTTCTCTCCTCCCTATCTTTGTGCTATTATTGTCAAGCGTTTTACTTTTATAAACCCCACACTCTATTGTTTTCATTTTTAAGTAGTAAATTACATTGTGAAGAGGTTTAAATCCTATTTAAAAATACTCTTTAATTACCGTATAGTTAGCATTTCTGATGCTCCTCACTCTGTTGCATAAGTCCATGTTCCCATTTGGAAACTCAAGTCTGAGTTGGTCTTGGTTGATTGATTTATCTTCTGGTTAAAGGTCATATTTTCTCGCTTCTTTGCATGTTTGGTAATTTTTGATTGGATGCCAGACACTGTGATTTTGTTCCCTTGGGCGCTGGATATTGTTGTATCCGTATAAATATTCTTGAGTTTTGTTCTGGAATGCGTGTAAGCTTATTGGAAACAATTTGATCCTATTGGGTCTTTCCTTTAAGATTTGTTAGGTAGACCAGCCTATAGCTAATCATTCCCCACTGATGAAGCGCAATTCCTTTGTGTACACCACGCAAAGCCCCGCGAATAGTGAGGTTTTCCCAGTCTGCCTGGTGGGACAGGCACTGTTCCTGGACCGGTGTCAGTGCCGGGAACTGTTCCTTTCAGTCCTGAAGGATCCGAATGGCTCTTCTCCCAGCCCCAGGTAGTTTTCCTGGGCACATCCTGACGCGCTCTCAGAAGAATACTGGATGGAGATCCTCTGCGGGCCTTTGGGATTTTCTCTGTGAAGTTCTCTCCTCGGGTACTCCCGCCTTGCATACTAGCTCCCTTGGTCTCCCCAGATTCTCAGCTCTGCTCTTCAGCTCGGGGTGCTCTGCCTGGGTCCCCCGCTCCCTGCACCACCGCCTGAGAACTCTTTCAAGGTGTGAACTAGAGCAGGAGTAGGGTTCCCCTCTCTTGTTTCTGCCTCACGGGTCACTTTCTTCCCTTTCCTGGTGTCTGGTGTTTTACAAACCATTATTTCTTACATTGTGTTTGTTTTGACTGTTGGAGGTGGGAGGGGAAATCCAGTTTCTGTTACCTCATCTCATATGGAAGTGAAGTCAGGGTTGTTTTAAGTTCTTAGTTTTATGGTAATTCCCGGGTGCCCGTAAGAGACTCACTGATCCTTGGCAAAATGAGAAAACAGATGTGCAGAGTTTTTAATAACTTAAATGACTGCCTTGTTTTTGAAATTACCTTTGCTTTCTCAGGAATAAGGTGACTCCGTTATGAAACAATAGTGACAATAATAGTTGTTTTAGAATTTTTCTTTCTTGACAAAAGTTGGCAGCTGTGTAGGGGCTTCCTGGTGGCGCAGTGGTTAAGAGTCTGCCTGCCGATGCAGGGGACACGGGTTCGTGCCCCGATCCGGGAGGATCCCACATGCCGCGGAGCAGCTGGGCCCGTGAGCCATGGCCGCTGAGCCTGCGCATCCGGAGCCTGTGCTCCGCGACGGGAGAGGCCACAACAGTGAGAGGCCTGCGTACCGCAAAAAAAAAAAAAAAATGTTGGCAGCTGTGTTGGTCCCAAGACTTTTTCTTTCATCGTGCTGAGCTATGAACTGTGAAGCTATGGCCTTAAATCACTGAGCTTTAGCCTCTTAGTCTTATCATTGGACACCTGGAGGGGCTGTGGACTGCTTCCCATGGTCATGTTGATAAAGCCAGGCCCAGAACCCAGGTCCTCCTCCTGGTCTCAGGCTCTTTCTGATGAACCTGCCAGGAAGGCTGCCTTCCATTAGCTTGGATGTCTTCTGTGTGTGTTCCTGAAAAAGAAAATATAAGTAGGTGAACCAGCACTTAACACGTTGACCTAAGAATGAAAGTGGTGCAGTGACACCAAAATTGTTTAAAATAGATGTGTTTTATGGTTATCTCCTTATTTTGTTCTATATCAAATTATTCTTGTCACTCAGAGTACAAATATTATAACACCTTACAAAATGACGAAAGTTTTCACCAAGTGCCCTACTGAGTCATGAGATCCTCCGAGATTTAAATGGTGTTTTCTTACTTGGAATTTTAGACTTCCCATCTTCCACAGAAGGGGCTCATATATTGTAAATGCTAGTGGTTAGATTATTTTCATCATTACCATCTTGTAGAATAGCTTCTCTCCTGAAATGAAACCCTCTTCCTAATATAGGCTTATCTCTCTTGTTCTTCTAAAACAAACTTCTTTATTATCTGATTATCTCGTGTTTGCCTTAGGTTTCCTCGTGGTTAGACTCAGGTTATGCGTTTTTGGCAGGAATTCTACAGAAGTGGTGTTGTGTCTGCCCAGGGTACCCTGTCGGGAGGCATGTGCTGTCAGAGGGTTGTGTCACCGGTGATGCTAAACTTGGTTAGGCTGGTGCCCGTCAGGTTTCTGTGTTGTGAAGTAACCATTTTTTCCCCTGTGTAACGAATAAGAAATTTGTGGAGAGTTACTTTTCGACTATGAATATCACGTTTTCTATCAAACTTTGACTTGGCAATTTTAGTAAATCTTGATGGTTCCTGCTTGAAACAGTGTCAGTGTCAGGGTGAAAACGGTGACCTTCCAGCCGTCATCCTCCTGTACTGAGCTGGCCTCTCTGTTCTCTGCTGTTGATTTACATCAGTACAGGCTTATGGAGTCTTATTTTCCTCATGGCTCTGTAGTCCATTCCTGCCATGATCCATTTTGATGTTCAGACTGTTCCAGACTTGGCAAGTGGGCACCCCTGTCAGTGGCCCCTGCCCTCCTGACTCGTCCCCTTATGTTTATCAGCACCTCCGTGCTTTCTGGGTCAGCGTGTTCCAGGCTTTTCCCCTGACCTGGCCCTGGAATCGGCTGTTCTTCCAGGGACTTGGAAACCCAGACAGGGTGCTTGGTGCCCTCATTGCTACTCTGGGGTCAGTGCCCCAGGTCCTTCTGCCAACTGGATGAGGAGAGAGAGAGAGATTGAGAGAGAGAGAGAGAGAGAGAGAGAGAGAGAGAGAGAGAGAGAGAGAGAGAGGGTGTGT